CTTATTTTCCCTTTTGCAGGAAACTGTTGTCTGGCTGGAGGAAAAAAATCCAGGTCCAAAACCAATTATGCACAAAAACTGTGACTGTTGACTCAATCCAGCATGAAACAGAATACAGACAGGCTTTTCTTTCCATGGAAGAGAGCTTCTCTTAGCTCCCTCCACTTTGAAAGAAACAATTTTTATTCTTACATTTTCACATTTGGATACTCTGCTGCTTACCCTGTAGTGATACATTCTCTACTACTCTGTGTGAGAGAAGCTGTTGATATCCTCAGGCTTGAGCTATACTGATGCTCTGCCCTAATTTCCAACACTGTTAGACAGCACTGGCATAAAACCAGTTTGAAGTCAAATCACAAAGTAGGCTCAGATTTGAACTGGAAAGCCTGAAGCAGGTATATATTGCAACAGAACAAGCCACAGCTTGTTGAGACACTGATCCACATCTCATTGAGACTCTCCACTGACTTTGGCACTTGCTGGCCCAGCCCTTAATCCTATAATCCCACCCTGCAGCAAATGCTGCAGAGAATGTTCTAGATGCTATTAAGGTAAGCTATTAAACTACTGAGATATTAAGAAAAATATTTGTATAGTAAGTTTCACACTAGCCTCCCTGAATATAATCTGTAACCTCGATTATAGCTGTTAGCTTATCATTGGAAACTAGAAGAGGAAAAAAAGTTTAAAGGATGGAATTTTAAAAACCTCTCTCACCCACCCACCAGCTCCTTCTGCCCCATGCTTGCCCTGCCTTAATGCACCTCTTAGCTGTGGTGCTGCCACCCATTCAACATATCCTACTAAAGCACAGCAATTTCAGGGATTTTAGCATTTTCCCCCTTCTTACAAAGCATTAAGAAGATTCACAGCCATTGAGTTCCTTAAAACTGCTAGTAAAGAAAAGAGGAAGGAGAAGGAAGGAAATCAGTTTAGCAAGTATTTTTGAAGTCAAACAGAAATGAAAAAGTGAGCTTATGAAGGAAACAGAGGGTGTTTCACAGAAGAGGCCCACACACAAGCAGGAAAAACATGCCACCAAAATGCTCTATTACAAAGCAAAGACGTTGAAAATAACATGAGAAGCTCTTTGAGAAAATAAAACTGTTTGAAAAGAGAAACTAATCATATGCAATCTACAGAAGCATGGAAAATATATTGCATTTTAAGAGTAAGTGTTTCTACCTGGAAAGTAGTAATTAAGCACAGACTCAATTTTTTCAAGTGCAATCCTCCCCTCCAAGCTTACCTATGTCCTGTACTAACTACTGCCTTTGAAATAGAAGTGTTTACATGTATTTGCTTGTTCTCAGTGAGTATCATCTTTTAAACCTAGCTCCCATACCCAATGCAGGAAGACACTGAGCAAATTGGTAAACAGCCAAATCTGCCTGTGAGCCAGGCCAACTTCCCCCACTCATAGAAGCTGCTACTGAAGCAGTGCCTTGCATGGGCTACTAGCACAAACATGCTATGCTGCAATCAGCACTGCCCAAAGCCAGCATGTGCAGCAATATGAGTCACCTTGCTTCAATAGGGCTTCATCTGGTGCAGTTGCAATACAGCTGGGAGCAAAGTTTTCAGGAGAGAAACACTCATTAGGATGACAAAGTTTAGGAGCATTATAATGCTGAAACTTTCTACAGCCTCTGCAGTGCATAACTTGTCACTACTGGAGGCAACATTTAGTCTTCACAAAGGCTTACAAAGAGTACTACTATTCAGCATAAAGGCAAAGGGTCATCTTTACTTAGTAGGATTTTAAAACAGATTAAATTCCTTGCCACAAAGCATAGAGTAGGAAAATTCTACTGAAGAACTTGTGAACAATTTCCAGATACTTTGCTTAGTTGAGTTAACTTAGTACATGCCTGTAAGGTAGGGATTTTCTTGCCCCCCTTTGGATTTCTCACATTCAGAAAAAAGAAAACATCCACAAACATTCTCAAGGAAACATTCAGAAGAATGAATTGGCTCTGAAACTCTCGGTATTTTTCACCCAGTATCAGATCAGTAGGGTGCCAATTCTAGACCACCTTTGGCTTCTTCAGGTATAACATAACAAGGAAGCTTGAATGCCCATTCTGAAAATTTCAAATTCACTAAGCAATGGTATTTTGAAGCTTGCCTTTTTAGCGTTGGCTTAGACATCAGATTTCTTGTGCATTTATTAGCAAGTGCAAAAAGTTAAAAGGTTGCTCTTCTAAAGCACCCCAGCACCCCCCCACCTTACCTGATAGTCCTCCCTCTACTCTTCCAGCAGCTGCAAACAAAAGGGTCCTTCTGTAATACTGCAACAGTTACCTATTCTCTTCTGCAGCGCTATGATGGCTAAGACCCCACTTTCTTCTTTGAGATCTAGTATTTTATGTACCTGAAAATAATTTGTCAGTAATTTTCTCTGTAAAGAAGTACTTCATACCTGTCAGAAAGAGACTACTGACTGAACTTTCTAGAGAACCTAAGCTTCTCACACAGCTGTAGCATGAGCTTTCAAAACACTACCCAGGTTACATCCTTTTGAAATACCCCCCAGATTTGCTCAGAATTCTCTATTTTCCTTTCTTTACCAACACATCCAAGTCTGCATATTTGTAACCCATGGATCCGGCAAGTTTGACCTAGTTGTCTAGTAGATGTTACAAGTCATTTTAATGCTGGCATGTCAGGCCTCAGTGTTCTTCATTAAGGAGAGCCACAAGCTCTACTGATTCACAAAGACAGTATTTGTATTTAACATTTTCAATGAAACCACAAGGAGTAGAAATTCAATTTTAAAAGGCTACAGTCTTCTGTTGAGGCCAATCTGCTACAGATGATACACCAGCCATAGCTGATGTTGAGGCCAATCTGCTACAGATGATACACCAGCCATAGCTGATGTAAACTTCCAGACTAAGTCTTTGACTAATTCAAGAATACTGTTGATTTTGAGGAAGTGGCATGCAATTCTTAAACAATTGGATAATTATCTTCATACCGATTAAAATCTGACAGAAGAATGGAGGGCAAACTCAAAACAGAATGGGCCAGAAGATGGTGGGAGTACAGTACGAAGTAAGAGACTCAAGAGAAGGGCCTCAGTTTCCAGAACATACCAACATGAAAAACACCTTCCACAACAGAAGCTACAGAGAGTAGTGGCTTGGGGGCAGGGGAAGAAACAGGACTGGAAGAACTAACACAATCAAAACATAACCATGTCTCAATTTTTAACAGTATTGTCACCAGTGTCTACACTATCTCAAACAGACTTGGGCAGATTGGTTCTATTCTTTAGCATGTATCTGGAAGACTGAAGGTACTCATGCTTCCATACTTCTGTGAAATATTTTGAGACCTGTATTGTAAATAATTATTTCCAGCTTCACTTTTAATTGGGGAAGTCGTAACAGCGCTGAAGAAAGGGTTTTAAAGTCTTAAATGCAATGGTAAAGTTGTAACATACAACGGACTTTGTGAAAATTCTGTCTTAATTCATTGTGACATAATTAGATGTTGCAGATTTAAACTCTATAAATGACAACATATCACCAGATTTATTGCAACACTGACAGAACAAGATAAAGCTGAAATTTGCTATTCTGTTTTACTTACACTGCCTTATGTTTAAGCCGCCTTTTTAAAAAACAAGTATGCTAGATTTGTTATTGAAACAGGTATGGTTTAACTTCCATGATTCTCTGTTTGCCTAGATAAGTCACTTTAAGAAGTGGCTTTTGGCACTGTGCCAGACACCCCAAGTCTAAGTAAATCCTTATTACACAGATCACTGACCTGAATCTACTGATACTCTTAGTCTTGCCCACCAATCCAGCTGTCAGGCAAGCTCATTAAATCCCAGACATGAAACATACACAATTTTAATAGAGAAAAGTCACACAGTTTTCAGAATGGCCATTTAAAAACTTCTACCACTACCCTTCCTCAAAAACAATGAAAAACTACTTCTGTTTGTCTGAGACTTGATATCAAAACCAAAATCAAAACTATGCTCCTTTAAGGTAGAGGAAAAAAAAGCCACATGCAAAAGGCAACTTAACCAGCTGACTCCTACTTCTTAAACACATTAAACCAATTAATTTGTGCAATGGTTTGTTTTTTAAAAACTGTTTCAAGTTTTGCCCTATTGCATTTCAATTTTTAAACTGTAATTTTAAGCCAGATTTAAACAACTCTAAGCCTTATATTACAGCCTTATGAACACATTACCTGTAATATAATAACTGTTATCAAAACATTCTCACAATGGTATTGCTAAATAAAAATCACCAAACTGATTTTTATGCAGCTATGACACCACTAGGTTTGCCACTTGTCAGAGATTTAAAACGTTTAAATAGATATTCCCTTCATGAACTTGAGCCTCAGAAAACTTAACTTGAAAGTTTCACAAACTCATCTTATATTCTGTATGTATTGAAGAAACCGTGATTAAAAAAGCTTTTTTTTTTTTAATTTTAGATCAGATGACAGAGCTGGATTACCAGCTCTGCATGCAGTTTGATAATCCGCAGCTACGTCAGGATGCAGCAGTACACATTAGTTGTTCCTTTTATTAATGGAAAGGCAGAAACTATATTTGGTTGGGGGAGTTATTTGTTTTAAATACTTTCCTTTTTTTGGGAAGAGGCTTCCTTCAGCAGCTCAAAAAGCCTGTACAAGGACTAAACATGCAGCTTCCTGGGTCTAACTTTGTTTTGTACCGCAGAAGCAAAATAAAACAAAATCCAGCCTAATGAGGTGGCAAGCCCAGAAGTCACAAGCATTAGCAGGTAGTTACTACAGCATCAAAACAATGGAAAAGATGAACTTACACATAATTTATTATTCCTACCTTCCAAATACTTAGAGACTTTCTCCATTCGAACTGCCATGGGTAAAGAGAATGAACAGAAAGATGCAACATTTAGCTTTAAAATAATTTACAGAAAACAAGCGCAAAAAAATCTGGTGTTGTGATTAGTAGTAGTATAAAGGAAGTTATTTGTCCGAACCTGAGGTTAGGTCAGATCCTCTGTTCTTTTTATCTTCTACTATTTCATAGAATGGGCCTATTACTTGTAGTAATTCTTCAACTTTGTCCGTCATTGGCATACTCTCAAGAATCTGCATAAGTCCAAAATATGAAGCATCTTATGAAACAGCATTTCAATGATTCATTCATTTCAACTGATTCTAGAAACTGCTGGTCATTGTAAAACTCAGTAATATTTCACTAAGTCACTTAACACATTATTCTGATTTTTTAACTTTTTTTAATTGAAGGAAAACAACATAAAACTAATTTATCAAACAAGAATCTTAACTAGCTGTATTAACTTTTTTTTAGGTGAAAAGAAGATGGGAGAGCTAATGCATTTGCCAACTCTAAAGGAGAGCCTCAGCACAGTATTAGTAGACCTTGGAATCCATTATTTCAGCAATTTCAAACTACACCAACTCAGAGTTCAACAGGCTGCTGTTATTTGATGCAATTTATTTTATAGACAAGTCTTCCTACAGAGAAAATGAAACTGAAAGACTTTTTTTTTCTTAGAGGATTCTTCATATTTGTCAAACCCTGCCATCTTCAGTGGAATGTAAGGAGCAGACCAAAAGCGCCCTGCTCGGTCCAACTAAACCCAAACAACAACAGAATACAGAAGAACTGGGACAGTACAAAGACAGAGCAAACTAGAAGAAAAGCAAACTAGAAACAAGTTCTGTTTTTCAAGTCATTTGGAGCTTTTCCTTTGATAAAGATTTCTTCATTTTAAATTACAAAACCAAAACCTTTGATCATCTGATAGGAATGCAAAATCTTAAATCTAAAGTAGATTAAACAGAAGAGATTCGATAACTGAATATTATTTTAAAAGCATACGGTATTATTGTCCCATCCTAGTTTAAGTCCTTTCAGCCAAGCTTTTTGCCGACAGCTTTGTTGCTTTTTCATCCTCTACTTTTTTTATTACTATTTTTTAAAAGAGGCAATAGCTATAGGAAAAGACGCAGGCAGAAGCAAACTAACAGCTACAGTACATCTCCTCCTCCTTGGAAGAGAACCAAGAAAGCAACAGGTGGAGGTACAAGTTGCCACAGAACATGCTGCTCAAGAGCACCGAGCACGTCACTAAGCAGTAGAAGCAAAAGCTACAGCATTACTTCACAAAGCAGGAGCTCCAGGCAGGCTAGCAGGTAACAAGTCAACACTTGCAAACCAATTAAAGATACCAAGAGACAACGATCCTATCAAACTGCAGTTTCATTGCCACTTCTCTGATATATTCAGATTATATAATTCATTCCATATTTGTTAGAAATACTCAGTGCTCAGATACAAAGCTGGATATGAACCAGAGACAGGACAGTTTTGTGATTTTTTTTTTTTTTTTTTAAACTTCAATAGCATTGAGAGAAACAAGAAACCTATTCTAGAATAACACTTGTATTTGCTATGTATTTACTTCTATAGTCTGCACTGTAAACTATTTCATATGTGTATTTCTATGATGCCTGCACATAACTGCTCTTCATCTATTCTAAACAGACTTCAAAATACTCTCTGCAAGTTGGAGCAATTCTTAGAATCTTTCCGCACAGTTTCTGTTAAGGTAAGAGTTTTGTAACTGCTAGTTTTTTGGTGAGCAAGAAAAGAGCAAATACTTCCACAAACAAAATCAACTGCTTACTTTTATAGCCACTAGGCATAATATGTAATCTTAAAATTTGAAAGTGCAAATTATGTTATTATGTAGCCTGAATTACTGTTTTCTTTGGATGCCAGACAATTAATATATGAAGACTCTTGTTTTAAATTAGAAACACCATATAGTGTTAACACTTCTTTATGCCAAGATATCACTCATTTCTAATAAAACAATATATCTGAAGTGTAAATAAATTAGTTTAAACAGTACTGCAAATAAATTAGTTTAAACAGTATTGCAATCCAGAATTTCAGAAATGCTACTTGGAAGATAAATTAACCTTAAACAACGTGCACCAGAGCTCAGATTCATCTTAGCTAAGATTAAGACATGTTTGGTCATCTCCCACCAGAACCTCAAAACCTCAGCCAGACACATTCCTCAACAGTTGCGATTTTCAAGGCTACCACATAAAGGGAAAAAAACACCAAACAAGTTTACAATAAAAGTATCTTGTGACAGGGTCATCTGATGCATGTATAGCCCAAACACAATGTGCAAATGCTAGGGACATGCCCCAGGGATGGGGGGGAATATAGCAATCTTATACACCCTTAAACACAGTCCTGTGATAGCAGCATATAAGTGGTTTTTTGCCCCCTTAGACATGGATATCTATGCAGGAACAGCAGAATGCCCACAGTAACACCACAAGGATTAGTACAGTATGTGCTAATAGAACAACCCAGCAGATCCATTTGAAATGCACTTCCATAGACATTTCAAGTAGAATCAATCAGGTTGGAAAAGCTGAAGCTAGTATTTCAAATGTGAGAGCTGAAACAGCACCAAAGCAGCGTAAACGGATTGCCCAGTTTCAAAGCTGAGGGAGGCAAGAAGTCATTTGCTCTCCAATCCCTACATGCAATCTGTACAGAGGCAGAATATTTGTGCTTCATTAGGGTCAAGTAAGTAGACTTCCTCACAGGAGGATTACTAGGGGTTTTTTTAGAACAAACATTGCAGTTTCACTTAGTTTTCATGTCCTGACCAAACCAATTACTGTATTGAAAAAAAATAAGGTACTCTACTGAAGTGTTAACACATTTTGAATCCGAGATTTGAAATGAAACACTAAATCGTGTGGCACATATTCGAAAGGAATTATTAAAATGTAGTGGGATTTTTGACCAAATGAATAATATTTGGCCTTCTGTGTTTTCTGGAGTTGTTTATTTTTCATTTTAAAGCAGCTACAGTAATACCAGGAGGAACTAAATTACCAAAATTAGAGATAGGAAAAAGAACAGTAGTGAGACTCCAGCTCCCTGCCTAGTAAAAGTTTTTGTTGTATCAGTCATTAAACATGTTAAGAGTTCAATGTCAAGATAGTGGCCTAGGAGAAAAGCAAGTGTATTTGGAGTAGAACTTACATTTTCTCTCCTTGATGCTAACCTCATCAGAATAATAGATTACAATTATACTTTTATCCGGATTGACAGTAAATAATCTTTAAACTGGAAAGGCCACCTAGAAGAGCTTCAGTGAAAAGACTGCAGTGAAAAGGGTTAATTAATAAAAGACAAAAAACTTTTATTCTGAATGTTTACTGCTTAATATAGTAACTACAACTGTTTACAAGTTACATCTATTCCAAAACAGACAGACCAAATAAGTCAATTCTAACTGTTTGACTGCAACTATAATATACAAGGAATATTTTCATGACAAGTACAGAAAATTCAGGTTCCTGAGTTCTTCTTGAAAAAAATTCAAAGATGATTAAGTTTAATATTTGATTATACTCATGTCTCCAGTCATGAGAGTGAGACTCTTGCTCCTGCAGTCCTTCTGGAAGATAGTTTTTTCCTTTCCAAGATAAGGATCACTTACCTCTCTCAACTCTGAGAACTGAGGCAGTTTACAGTAAATCAGCTTTTCTTTTGTTGTACTTTAAGTTCCACTGTTTTCCCCACTTTCCCCTTTACCATGATTTCAATACTTCACTTTCTTTAGCTGTCATTTAAGCTTCATATCAGCTAGAGATGTCATGTTTCTCTGAAAAAAACCCAAATTCTATAGCTCTGGAATGAACTACATAATTTTCTTCTCCCCACGGGCCAAACAGCATAGTACTGAAATGTAACAGTTCACATAGGGAATAACTCATTTGGAGCTGTGACAGTAGTAGTCAGCAAGAACCTCCTCATGTTCCCTAATTTATTTCTGGAATATTTGTTCTAGAAGATTCCTTCCACTCATTAGTAAACTTACTTTTTTCATTTCTTCAACATAGGCTATCATGGCTTCTTCTTTGGACATGTCTCCCAAGGCACTCCAAGCATCCCTAGGAAAGAAAGTCGCATACATCTTCAGAGCCTGGATTTTTTCAGCCTGGCCTTAAGGAGGTCAGTTATGTAATGGTCAAAGTTTCTCCAATACAAATAAAATGCAACAATAATTCACAACTTTTTTTTTTTTTTAAAAGTCCAAGTATATCATTTGCTAGGATAATCACACAGTGGTACATCAACAAAGAAGCAACAAACTGAACAGCCTAGGGACTGAAGAGTTCCCCACTGACCAGCTATGATCTTGTACCCAGTAAGTTGTTAACAAGCCCAGATGAGAGACACACACATTTCCCTTTTGTTTATGTTGATTTTTTTTAAAAGACCCTCTGCTACAGAAAAAGAGCGGGCACAGACACTTCAGCCAGCACTTACAAACAGCTGTCAGCAAGTTAGAACAGGCTACAAGAAAAATCTGTCCTTTTTGAGTTTAGTAACCGGGGAAAGAGACATCAATCTAGCAGGCAAATAGTTTAATCATGGCCCCCAGTTACCACAGCAGTTACTTATGACCTAAAAAAACTCCCCCTCTCCAACACAGAAAACTCCAATCAAATTTATCAGTATTGCACTAGGAATCTGTCAGAACACAGATTGGAGTAAAACATTTCCTTACTCAGTCTTGCACTTGATTTGACACTGTCCCTTCCCCGTGCCAGAGTATTTGTCCCACTTACAGCAAAACCCCAAGGTTGGTGGCTCACATTTCAGCTACAACCAACCAGGTGGGTGGAAGCTTACTGCCCTTGTCATCTGCAAAGATATCCCCTTCACCCTGACTTGGGGAGACTAGGGAGGAAGGAAGGAAGGAGAGAAAAAAACAACAAAAAAAAAAGTCAAAGGAATCATTTCACAGATCCCAAGAAGACCATGACCATAAAGACAGCAATAATACTTGTTGTTCAGGACAAATCGTTATTAAAATATAATAAGCAAAGCATTCACATGGCTTTTCAAACAGATCTTAGCAATCTGGTGAATCAGAAGTCTTCCCAGCACAAGGAAAACACAGACAGCAGGAAGCCCTGCCACTGAGCAGACAAACCAGAAAGATACATAAACCAGACCTCTCCCCAAAAGCTTGAAGCTGTATCAATGGCTGTCAATGAGCACTTATTTACTTCAGGCTCACATCATACATGAAAAATTGATAAGGAAGAATTCCAGACACTCATCCACATCACTCATTCTGCAGAGCACCTACAATTTCATTCTACAACATGGGATAAACATTGCAGAGGTACCATGATGGTGCTTGCCCAAGAAAAACCTACCCACCTGCAGAACCTGAGGGAATGTTTTCACCTGCAACTCTGAGAAGTTATAAATTATCTGAGCTAGAAAGTTGGAACACAAGACAGAAAACAAATTCAAGCATCAAAGGTTGTGAATGTTCTTTTTTTAAGAGAGAAATAAACTCACTACTCTTTTTCCAGGTGCCACTCTTCTAAACATCTCCACTCCAAGCATAAAAAAAACCCAAAACAAAACAACAACTCATGAAAAGTTACCATTTATATCTACCAATCGGATCCCAAAATCCAGGTCGTGGAACGTTACAGGGTCCTTGGGTTGCCTGCTTATAAAAGCTATAGAACTTGAGCATCATTTCATTCGTTGGCTGGAATGAACCTAGTGAAAGCATTTAAAAATACAATTACATTGTAATCAAGAACATTAATGAGTATTTTACAAGCTTCGTATTTCTGTGTTTGTTACAGCCTGATTGACAGCAGTACAATTTAAGTCAATGGAGAACATTTACTTCATCTACCATGAACCAGCACCACTGACAATATTTACTTTACAAACAGCAAGTTTCAGATTGAGTTTAAGGGACTACAACCTTTACCACTCCTAAGGTCAGACTCCACAATTAGAATAAAAAGAGAGTAATAAGTAATATAAAGCAAGTATCCTTTCACTCAGTTTAAAGAGACAGCTTTAGCTCCCAGTAAACAAAGTATCTTGCAAGTCACTTTAGTGTCACAAACAGTAACTTACTGAAAGACTCCAGAACTTAAAAAAAAAAAAGAAAAAAGACCAAAAAACCCAACCAAACATATCAAACCCAAAACACAGCCTTCTGCAGTGTTTTTGTTTACTTTCGGTATTTCACAGCACTTTCAATAAGTTTCACTGTTTCTCCCGGTTTTGTTTTCTGTTCTTCCTTTGTGGAACACACTTTTGTAGAGGTAGGAAATGTAAATACAAAACTGTAACAGCTGGCAGGGAAAATTCATAACCAATCCATCAAATCAAATACTTTGACGTTCGATTCTAGTCATTAGGAGAAGTTTACAGTGACTTTTATTTTAATACCTCAACAAACCCAGTTTTACTTACACCAGAATTAATGATGTAATAACCAACTTTTTTTTATTTTTATTACTCTTATCAAAAACATACACTCCGATTTTTTTCCTTTTCCGTTCTGTTAACTCTTTCAGCAGACGGTACTCATGATACCAGCTCCGAAGCCGTCAAACCGACTTCGGGATTTCAGGGAGGCAGCGGCCCTTCCCCGGCGCTCCCGCACCGCACCGCGGGGAGCTGACAGGCCCCCTCCTCCAGGCGCCTGACTGAGGAACTTCTCTCGTGGACTCGGCAGCCCCCGAACCGGCGTTTCTTCAGGAGAGGCGGACAGCAGCACGAAGACCGAGCTTTC